GCCTAACCGACATCATACCTGGTACAGAATGGATACCTGTGCCTCAGGCGTTTATTTGTACATTTTCCTGTATTGTCACACTCAACAGGCGGTGTAGAGAAGAGAATCCTGTTGCTGTTAATGCAGAGGTCAACGCTCTCATCTGTGAAAATTCGGACGAAGCAGATGCAATAATCTATACAGACGGATCCGTTATACGCCAAAGAAGAAGCACATGGGCATTTACAGCATGCTCAGCGGGCAGAACAGTCAAAGAAGCCAACGGCACCTTCTCCATGACAACCAGCAGCATGACGATGGAGGTGATGGCAGTGACGCAAGCGCTTGCCTGGCTTGAAACACAAAAATACACCCGCGTGTGTATACTCAGTGATTCAATGAGTATGATCCGGAGGGTTCAGGCAGGTTCAGTGCGAAGACAATGGCTTCAATCATTACAGAAGTCCACTGTGCGTGGAGTCACCTTTGTTTTTGTTCCGGGATACGCAGGCGTCAATGGAAATGAAAGAGCTGACAGGTTGGCTGGATCCGCTATCACTACCGACGGTCAGCCTATGGATCATGCTGATATTATTAATGCCCTCAGAGAAATGGGAAGGATAGAGGACTTTGGTGGCAGTGAATCCACATGACTCGCCAGAATGGCAGACTTGGGAATTAAGATCGGCACAGCAAAAAACGAGACGCACACCAGACACGCCAGAAGACTTGTTAATCAACATAGAACTGGTACTATTAGCCATCGGACGTTGGGGTTCATACTGAGGGGAGGATCTGAGCACCTATGGACATGTCCGGAGTGCAATGAGGATAACCCAACTAACTAACTAATATCTTCCAGAACTTCTACTCCCCTTCAGTGTTGAATATCTTCCAGAACTTCTACTCCTCCAGTGTTGAATATCTTCCAGAACTTCTACTCCCCTCCAGTGTTGAATATCTTTCAAACTTCTACTCCCCTTCAGTGTTGAATATCTTCCAAACTTCTACTCCCCTCCAGTGTTGAATATCTTCCAGAACTTCTACTCCTCCAGTGTTGATAATCTTCCAGAACTTCTACTCCTCCAGTGTTGAATATCTTCCAAACTTCTACTCCCCTCCAGTGTTGAATATCTTCCAGAACTTCTACTCCTCCAGTGTTGATAATCTTCCAGAACTTCTACTCCTCCAGTGTTGAATATCTTCCAGAACTTCTACTCCTCCAGTGTTGAATATCTTCCAAACTTCTACTCCCCTCCAGTGTTGAATATCTTCCAGAACTTCTACTCCTCCAGTGTTGATAATCTTCCAGAACTTCTACTCCTCCAGTGTTGATAATCTTCCAGAACTTCTTCTCCCCTCCAGTGTTGAATATCTTCCGGAACTTCTTCTCCCCTCCAGTGTTGAATATCTTCCAGAACTTCTTCTCCCCTCCAGTGTTGAATATCTTCCAGAACTTCTACTCCCCTCCAGTGTTGAATATCTTCCAGAACTTCTACCCCTCCAGTGTTGATAATCTTCCAGAACTTCTGCTGACTCCCCTCTTTAAATTAGCCATTGAGTTTATGGATTCTCTGTTCTATTGCACTGTCCATTTGATTCCCAGAGAGGCTTCATCATGTCTGCTTTATCATAAAGTTGCTCATCACCCAGAGGAGTGGCAGCAGTAAATCTTTCAGTCTGCTGGTTACCTCACATACCTTAATTTTCTAGACAGAACATTCATGATATGCCCCTGATCTGAGTCTGATCAACTGATGCAAGCTACTCTGCACGCAGGACGCCAGTCTCAGTGTTCCGAGCATGAAATGTATTTTGTGTCGTTGAAAGCAGCAGGCTTGATGTGGAAAACATGTTTTGTGCTAGCTCTTTAACATGTAAAGTAAAGGACCTTTTTCCACAGCTTTAGGCATATTGGGCATACAGGGCTAGACCTATATTTTATAGACCAATCGGCAATTGGTAGGCGATGAGGTAATCATCACTCTGGCTGCCTTTACTTCCCAGGACTTCATCTAGTACCCATTCGACCTGGGAACCAGGTATTTTTTTCCCCCCACTTGGGACCTGAACCCACGACCTTCTATTCTGTAGGCGAGCATCTAATTGCTACTCGACAGTGTCTTCCGATTCTGGATATATAGTTCACCACTTCTATAACCACCAGCTGCTGTATTTATTCACTGACCTAGTTTTTTTTTTCTTACCTCTAACTCTTCTTCCTTCTCGACTGCTGACCTGAATATATTGGGTTCACACCTGTTCATCACATATGTAAACCACATTTGTAAATCGGCTAACAATCAGCGAGGGTGACAACATCAGAGAATTACTAAATGAACAGCTTTTTGCTGATGAATAGGCAATCATAGCACCAACAGCAGAACAGCTACAAGAATATATTAAAAGACTCCACTCAAAATGTGACAACAACAATATGAAGATCAGCGTAGACAAAACAGAAGTGATGACATTCTCCAGAAAAGGAAGAACCACCAATGTCAAAATTGATGAACACCAGTTAAAGCAGGCAAAGGATTTTTGCATATCCTAGAAGCATTTTTTCAGAAGATGGAAGAATGAATAAAGAAATCCAACAAAGATGCAATAAAGCCAATCAAGTTTTAGGCCAGATGGCACCAGTTTTGAAATGCATGTTAAAATAAACACTAAAAGAACACTGTTTAACACAATATTCTTACCAACGCTCTGCTATCAATGTCAAATATGGACCCTGTCTTCAGAAGTCAAAAAATAGTCACAACAGAAATGAATTGTTTACCTACTATGTTAGGTGTAACTAGGAAAGATCGACTTAGGAACGATGATATCAGAAGGAGAATCAGCATAGAACCAATACTGGACTTTATAGCTAGACAACAAATCAAATGGTTTGGCCATGTAACTAGATTGGCAGCAGACTGGGCACCACAGATAGCAATGTTATACAGATAAAAAGGTAACAGATCCAGAGGTCGACCACGCAAAACATGGACCGCAGAAATATCAGAGACACTGAAAAGAACTATACACGAAGCAAACAGAAGGGCCCGTTCCAGAGATCTTCCTCCCCTGACACCGCGAGGTATTCCAGGAGTAGAGAAAAGAAGAAGAAGACACCTGTGTGCTGATATATTTTTTCTTATTCTTCTTAGTCTTCACCGCAGTAATACAGCAGAAAGTTCTGGATGCTCATCCACTTCTGGATTTTGATCCTGTTCTAGATCTGGCTTTTTTATATACAGACTGTTGGTTCCTTGCCTATAAGACAGATGAACTCCGATTGGAAAAAAACCACCCTAAAGTCACCTTGTATATAGCCATAGGATAAGTTCTAATTTTGTATGTAGCCACAGATTATGTTCTAGTTTTGTATGTAGCCATAGAACAGGTTCTAAATGTGTATGTAGCAATAGGATTGGTTCTAGTTTTTTCTTTAGCCATAGAACAGGTTCTAATTTTGTATGTAGCCTTAAAATATGTTCTAATTTTGTCTGTAGCCTTAGTACAGGTTCTAAATTTGTATGTAGCCACAGGATAGATTCTAATTTTGTATGTAGTCATAGGATAGGTTCTAGTTTTTTTTATGTAGCCATAGGATAGGTTCGCAGCATCTGTGGCTTAGGTGTTGTGAGTCTGACTCGTAATTCAAACGTACCGCAATTGACACCCACTGCTGGCTGTGTGGATTTTTATCATGAAATGGGGCGTCGCAGGTCCACCCAGCCTAAAATAGGTACTAGGATTTAAGTCCTGGAGAAGTAAAGACTGCAGGCGCAATGCTGACCACATTACCACCTAGTGCCGATTGGTCTGTAAAAATATGAATGCTCTTCCCACATGCCCGATGCGCCTAAAGGCATGAATAGGAATCTTTACTTACTTATAGGATAGGTTCTGGTTTTTTATGTAGCCACAGAGAGCAGGTTCTAGTTTTGTATGTAGCCTAAGAAAAGTTTTTTATGTAGACAAAGGATAGATACTATTTTTGTATATATAACATAAGTTCTGGTTTAAAATTACCATCTACACAGATTATATTTCACCTATCAGGTGCACTGTGGAAGTCTAATTTTTAAACTTTCATGAGGTCTTCCCTCCGACCTACATTGAGAAAACAAGGACACCATTTTAAATCATGAAATAAATGTTTATGTTTCACTTGCTGTCACAACTGTACTGTTCTGCCAAACATATATGATTGCTGCTTGTATTTAACACTTTTATGGTGTAGGCAGAGGGGCATCTTTGAGGCTGAGGATTTAGGGCTGCATGGCTAGTGCTGTCGCCATGGACTGTGCAGGTTGGATTTTATTTTTTGCTCCAACAGAAGAAATGTTTAACCCTACTGAGGATTCAAAACCAGGTCTCCTGCACAACAGCCCTGCATTCTTAATTGTTTTACCAAGAACCCTGCATTCTTAACTGTTTGGCCAGCCGCTCCTACTGTATTGTTCAAATAACCATAAATGTTGCTCATACTGTCACAACTGTTGACAACACTGGCAACTATAGTTGATCACAGTATCATAGGTTGCTGTTGATCACACTGCCACAAATGTTGTTCACAGGCCACAAATGTTCTTACTATTACTGTTGTGGATATTAAAATGTCAAAATTGTCATTCACACTGTCACAAATGGTGTTCGTTCCTAGTATCACCTTTATTGACATCACAATGTCAGGAGTTGTTGTTCACACTTTCACATATGTTATTCTTAGTATCACCTTTGTTGACATCACAATATCAGAGTTGTTCACACAGTCACAAATGTTTTTCTTATCTTCTTAGTATCACTTTTGTTGACATCACAATATCAAACCTCGTTTTCACACTGAAACAAATATTTACACTGCCACCACTATTGTCACAATAGTTCATACATGTTGTTCTTACAATCAAATTTGTAGACATCGCCTGTCACCAATTTTCACACTGTCACAAATGTTTTTCACACAGTCGCAATGTTCACACTGTCTCAAATATTGCTAACACTGACAACTGTTGTTGATCACGCTGTCACAAATATGTCTGCATGTGTTGGGGTTGCAGGTTATGGGTCTCCACAAATCTGTACAGTTCATCCACTGATACTGGCTTTTTCAGCAAACTTTCAATCTCTTGCAGCTCCAACTCTTTTGCCTACGGAAGAAACAGTTACTCAGTGATTATACTATAGTAAAAAAATTTTTAAAATTATCATCATTTGGATCAAAGGTAACAAACTCTAATTAGTCGCCTTTTTGAACTTGTTAGAAGGGAGGGAATGGGGTGGTGGGCAATGGGTCAATTCTAATGTTCTCCAAAATGTGGCTGTAGAAGCTCTATGGGGATTGTCAGGCACCTGCTACAATAAAAGATAAGACCCTATTCCATGCACTTAAATATTTTCTGCAGATCATGCTGGTGTGTTGGGAAATGAGCAAGCAGACAGACTGGCCGGTTCTGCACCACTTGATGGTGAAATGATGTGTGACAAGCTAGATGTTGTGAGGGCTCTTTGGGAGTGAGCGAACATTGTGGAGGCACAGACAGATCATTATGGAGAATGGCGCTACAAAAGGTTACCAGGGGATCTGGCTGACGCTCAACACTCAAAGTGAGATAGATATACGATCAGAAGTTACTGGTGCCATTGGTTTTGGAACTCTTTGCTTGTTGCTAAAGATAGGTATGGAACACTTATGGGAGTGTCCTGAGTACTGTGATGTTGATTCTTTATTCAGCATTCAATCCATGCCCTTAAGCAAATTGGGTATGTAGTGCTAGAAGAATAGGACCCTTTTCCACATCTTCAGCGTACTGGGTATATGGTGCTAGACCTGTTTTATGATACCCATCAGCACTCACTGGCTGATGTGGTCAACATCAAACCGACCACCTTTACTTCCCAGGATTTCACCTTGTACCCATTTAAGGCCTGGTCAACCTGAGAGAAAAGTCATTTTTTTTTAATCCGACTCAGTGTGGATTTGAGCTAGCAACCTTTAGGATACTGGGAAGCAACAAAGTGCTAAACAATGACAGCTGACACATTTCACAGTAGCAATTCAATATAATTAGGCAAAAAAAATAATCCTTCTAACTGAAATACACAGTCAAATACATTCAAAAATAACTTACTGTTTTACCAGGTAAATGTGGGTTTGGCCATGTCATTTTGTTCACACAAATCTTGACAAGTTTTTGTTGCAGTGTTTGTTTGTATCTTTGTTCAGAAAGCAATGGCCAGCTATTGCTAAGCCAAAAAAAAAAAAAATAGCAAAAAAAAATTAAGGTAAGGTTGGTTCTGGTACCTCCATTAAAGTAAGACCTGCAGGCCACATACGGTCCTTTGCAAGTAAAAATTTATATTAAATGACTTCAGTTAGCTGTCATAAATAACAACACAAATATGACCCATGTGGCCCTCATGATAACACAGATGTCACCGTGTGGCCCTAATGACAACACAAATGTGACCAATGTGGCCCTCATGACAACACAAATGTGGCCCTCATGACAATACAAATGTGGCCCTCATGACAGTACAAATGTGGCCCTCATGACAATACAAATGTGACCCTCATGACAACACAAATGTGGCCCTAATGACAACACAAATGTGACCCATGTGGCCCTCATGACAACACAAATGTGATCCATGTGGCCCTCATGACAACACAAATGTGGCCCTCATGACAACACAAATATGACCCGTGTGGTCATCATGACAACACAAATGTGACCCCTGTTCTACTGCAAAGGACAGTGCAACTAATGTGACCATAGTCTTGCCCAATATAGACATGAAACAAGGCATCAACAGACAAAGCATCAACCAACATCTTTTCATAAAACACTGTAATGTTATCATGATCATAAGACTGACTGCTGTTTTTTCTCACAGTCCTGAGAGCCAACAAACAGATCAAGAAAAAAAAAATCTTTGTCTTTAAAAATGAAAAAAAATTCTCAAAAATCTGGCTGCAGTAGTTTCTCACCTGGAGTGTTCTTTGAAGTGATAACAGTTTTCTCAACTTGTCCAACCTCTGCTCGATTGATATCACCTGGCAGTTTCTGGGTGACCGTACATCGACTCTGTCGCTGCTGTGTTTTATCCTTGCCATCAATTGTCAAGTCCAGGTGATGTATGGAATCAATCATATGACGAAGAACCTCTGAAGAAAAATGTAATGATAATTTTTTAAATACTAAATTGTCGTCATAATCATCATCATCATTAACCATTTCTCCTGTTAAGCACTGTGGGGAGAAATAATTTGCCATCCAGTACACGCTGGCTGCCACTGGCCATTATCATGCTGTGAAGCCGTAGAGTGTCTTTAATGATGTCGATCCATGTTTCATGGCTGTCCTCTTGCTCTTGTGGCTGATCTTCAGAGATGTATTGTGTGTGATGATACTGGATCTTGCTGCATTCTGACGAGATGGTCAAACCACTTGATCTCCTGTTTCTCGATGAATCTGGTACAAGGTGTCGTTCCCACAGTTTGTCTGACAGTATCATTATTCACTCGATCTCCGATGGTTGGGTTGGCGGCTTGTCTCATATGTCTCATTTCGCAAATGGTGATTTTGCGTACATGGGCTTTAAATAGCGTACATGGGCTTTAGATAGCGCACATAGGCTTTAGATAGTGTACATGGGCTTTAGATAGCGTACATGGGCTTTAGATAGCGTACATGGGCTTTAGATAGCGTACATGGGCTTTGGATAATGTCCATGTTTGGCACTGGTAGCTTAATCTTGGAATGAATATGTTGTTTATAATCAGTCTCTTTCTTTGGTATAAAACCGTATATACAAACTCAAAGGCCTGCATGGTCCACATCACTCACTTCAGTGCCAGCAAATCTATAAAAATATGAGTTAACATCACTACTGGCATAAAAAATGATCTTTATTTATTTTTATAACTTTTTATTAGGGTCATTTTTTGTATGTAGCTATGTCTGGCCAAAAAAATTTTTTTCAAAATATTTCCTGATAAGCTTTTGAGCTCAAATTTTGAACAAACACGCTTTGTAGATGACAATGCAAAGTGATACAAAAATATTAAGGATATGGTAGTCTTAAAAAGGGAATCAACTTGGAGCAAATACATTATGGACAGATAGACTGGTTGACAAAATCAATTTCATAATTTGAAGAAAAAAAAATTTAAAAGATTGCCATCACCACAATGAAGGTTGGCCGCAATGCATTCAGTGCTAACTATGGGAAAATAACATAGTCAGGCTCCAATCTCTCCCATGGTGCGATTCTCATACCACTGCTTGAAAGCTATGAGAATTGACTTTTTCTTAAATGCACACCACAGGAAACAACCCCTGATAAAGAATGAATTAATTGATCAAAAACTGACATACTGCACTCTAGACGTTCCCTCATATGTTCTGTTCCCTTCTTCAGTAGCCAAGGAAGAGTCAACATGTTAACAGTACCAGTTGCAACCTGAAAATCCCTCTATCTCCCCCCCCCCCCCTTTTTCAGTGTTGATTATCTTCTACCCTGATAAACATTAAGAATTACATTTTAAAATGATTTCATTAAACTTTAAGCCAGAGAGTCACAGATAAGTAAATGATTAAGCCATGACCGGCCGTGCTGCTGACGCCACTGGGTTGGGTTAACAATGTGTTAACGCAGTGGTTCTCAAACTGGGTGCCAAAGCAATAATCAACAAATGTCTACTCAAAATTGTGCAATTATTAAAGAAGGTATGTAGATACTTAAAAGTTAAAATGTAAGTTGTCTTCTCTTGCCACTGTCAAAAATAGTTTATTTCTTGTTTGAGAACCGCTGCAATAACGCATCCTTAGCCTGGCCTGGTTACGTCAGCAGCATGACTCGTCAGCTGGAGCCAGTCGTGTTTAAGTAAATTGAATGTCTGTACCTTGGCCATTGTTTACATGTGGACGTCTGGAGACTGAGGACACATATGACGAGGAACTGTCTACTGATGATATGCTGGTCAAAGACTGCATACTGCCCCCAAACATTGGTGTTCCTGATGCATCTTCTCCTTCCTCCTCACTGTCACTGTAACCACCTGTATAAAACAACAAGAGTTCAGTGTTTATACTCATCTGGTTACATGGTTACTTATCAGTGGTTCCCAACTTTCCTAATTCTGCGACCCTTAATACAGTTCCTCATGTTGTGATGACCCCCAACCATACAATTATTTTTGTTTCTACTTTATAATTTCGATGATTATGTATTTTTCAATAGTTTTTGGTTAACGTACATTGATAAGCTCTGTTTTTAAGACGGAGTTCATGTTCTTACAGTCTGTCTTAATCTGTATCTCCATATTCCAGTCTTCTACTCACGAATAACCAACCTCTGTGAAAGGGTCATATGTTGCTGCCCATAATAAGCATGCCGTTAAAGGCGACCAGTTTAGGTTTGCTGAAATTGTATAGTTTGGGCTGAAAGGTGCAGATATCAAACCTAGCTGAAACCCACAACACAACCTGCCAACCACCCTTTTAGGAATGAACACAACTTCGAAAAAAAACACCTCTTATTAGTCAACCTTTATGACATATTTGTTAGGGAGCAGAGTACCTATTTTTGTTCCCCACACGGGGCAAGACGATGATGATTCCTCACTTTCTGCATTGGCCAATAGAAAGGGCGGTTGACACAGTGTGTTGCTGAAAACCACAACACAACCTGCCAACCACCCTTTTAAGTGTGAATAAAGAAGAAGATCTACCTTTGCTCTCTTTACGTAGCACAGACAGTTGTCCTGGCTGGGGAAACCCACTGGTTGTGCTGTCAGGACTGGCATCATAGTTGATGGCTGCAAGGCCAATTTTGTTCATCCACCTGAGATGGAGAACTTCGTGAGTTAGTGTCTTGAACTAAGCAATAGGCAAATGAATATTTGTATAGTCAAGTTTGTTTTGAGCTATGAAAGTGGTGGTCTCCAACCTGGGGATCGCAGTCCCCTGAGGGTAGGGCATATTGAAGTTCTGTGGGGGAGGGGGAAAGGCGTCATGTAATTTTGAAAATGAGTCCATTTGTACTTGTAATAATTTGTTCTACCAACAGTTTTTTTCTCCAGTTTAATTATAAATAAAATATATGCTAAGTTATTTTTTAAACTTAAATCCGAAGAAATTTTTCTTTTTAGGAGCAGTCTGTAGATCTAAAGTAAAGGACCCTTTTCCACACCTTCCGGTGTTTTTGAGCATAGAGGGCTTGACCAGTCGGCACTCTGAGGATGATGTGGTCAACATCACTCCAGCTGCCTTTATTTCCCAGGACTATATGTGGTACCCATTTATGGCTGGGTCGACCTGGGAGCTGGGGTCATTTTTGGAAAAAGTCATAGCACTGTGTCAGAACTCGAACCCATGACCTTCTGATTTGTAGATGAGCATTTAGGAGCTATACCATGGTGGCTCCCAGTTTGTAGATCTACTGTTTAAAAATCTAATTAATGTAACATGTGCAGCATTTAATTGTAGATTAAGAATACTATCCTCCTAATTTTTAATCACATTTTATTATGTTGGTGGTGTGGGAGGAGGCCTTGTAATATAGTCGGGGGGGGGGGATTTGGGGGGAGCAAAGCCACCTAAAGGTTGGAGATCCCTATTTTTAAAATCAAAGTCGACTGTGTCAACCACTTCAACAAATGCTTTCTAATTTCTTAATTTGCTTCCTGTAGATGCCAGGTTTGGTTTTATTGTCTAACTAGTACTCTGTTCAATAGAACTCTGTCGGCAGGGCTGGGAAAGGTCTCTGACAGTAAGTCTAGGACCTTTTTAGGTGAAATGCCACTAGCACATAAAATACACGGTCTCCTCAAGGTCACTAACAATACAGAAGGGACTGGGTTACGATTATAAGAGATACAATAGACAGAAAGTGGGAATGGAGACCATGTCTGGATTATATTGAGAGACAAATTATAAAACCAATGGCCGTCTAGTGAGAATGCAGCGAAACCAAACTGCATATGAGACTTTTTACAGCAGAATATCTGAGAGTAAGGCGAGGGGAAGACCAACAAAGAGATGGATAAATGATGTAGTTGAAACCTGCACACACACACACATACCCAAAAAAGAACAAACTTGTATGACATTATTGTGGGGGGGGGGGGGGGGGCGCAGTGGGTCTATTCTTGTTCCTACCCCAATGAGGCATAGGAACTCATAGAAGAAATCAATGCAACATTTATAATTACATTTCTACAGCAACACAACCTACGTACTTGCCCATGTCACTCTGCCTTTCTGAAGCAAAATAGAATGTTGTTCCTGAGTTATGGATCTTGAATGCACTGAAAAAAAACCAAAAAATTATAAGGATTGGAAAAGATATTCAGCTGCAAAAAACCTCAATCAAATTGGACAGCAAGTTACATCATAACTGTTGGGTGACCTAAAACAACAGTGTCACATAGTTGAACAGGGTTTCTTGGACTAGTTCCTGTTTTATTCAAGAACTTGAGTTTTCCATGCACATGCATTTTACAGATCTAGCTTATTATATATGCAGAATGTTGACCCCATTTATGACATATTTGTTAGGAAGCAGGGTACCTATTTGTGTTCCCCACCATGGAGCCCCAGAATCCACACGGGGCAAGGGGATGATGATTCCTCTGCTTTTTTGCATTGGCCATTAGAAAGGCCGGTTGACACTGTGTGTTGTGGATTACACCAAGACTGCAATATCTATACTTTTCTGCCCAACAATTTTTGCAAACCCCTAATTTAGCATCTTTTATGAGTGACTTGTTAATGGACAGTGTGCCTCTTCTTGTTCTCTCTAAAATAGCGCTTTGCAATGTAGAGATGATGGTAATGATTTTTATCATTAAGTGCTATATAGTAAATATCTGTAGTCATTTTCTTCAGCATTTCGAGCCTTTGGGGTTCCGTTCATACCTCTGGTTGGTCTTCTCATTCCAGAGGAAAGTGCTTGTAGGTCTGTCTGGATATTACTTCTCCACTGTCTTCTTGGTCTGCCTCGTGGTCTACGACCATTCACCTCCCTTGTGTATACAGTTTTTAATCTCTCTGTCGTCTGACATTCCTTCTGTATACCCCAGCCTTTTCAGTCTATTGGCCCTTAGGATGCCAATGATCAATGGTGATTTAAACAGATTATAAGTTTTGCTTTTTCTGCTGACTCTCCATTCCCCAATGTTTGCATCTTTGATGGTCTAAATATTCGTCATAAGACTCTTGTTTTCAAATATTTTTAATAAGGCTTCAAGAGAAGAAACATCCGATCATGATGGGACAAGAGGCACTGGAGCAGGTTCAAATACCTAAGAGTTAAAATAGACGATTAAGGGGGGGGGGAATAAAGTCAAAGTTGGCTGCTCACAAAGCAGCAGCTGGGAGACTCCTCCAGGCCATAAACCGAGGGTTTCTTGCCAAAAGAGAAATTAGCAAGAGGAAGAAAATGGCTGTATACCGCTCTATCTATGTGCCAATCCTGACCTATGGGTGTGAGTCATGAGCAATGACAATAGCTCACAGAAGCCAGCTTCAGGCCTCAGAAATTAGGCAACTGAGTAAGGTGGTTGGTGACATGAAGGAACAAAGTTCACAGTCAGACATTACATCATGACTTTGAAACCCAGGCCACAAACTAACATGGATCAGTCACAGTCACCATGGTCAGAACATGTCTGCTGCATGGGAGTAAATTAGCCACCACAGCCAGCATGTACAGGAGATCAAGAACCAGGGAATCAGACTACCAGGACGACCCAGAGTTTACCGTGAAGACAACATCCAACAGAGGACTCAGATGGAATAAAGCCAAAAAAAACTGTGATAGAGAAATCTGGCGACCTCTCTGGGAAACTTCTACATCACAAGCTAGAAGAGGAGTGACTAAGTAAAGAAAAAAGTTCTTTAATCCCATTTTTTCCACAGCTCATTTTATAAAAAGCCACAGAATGCAGCCAGTGTAGTGTATGAAAGTTCAACTCACAATTTTCTGGTCCTAATATCCGATGCTGGCGACACTTGAAATGCTTGTAGATGAATGATGCTCTCAGCTTTAAGGTCCTAGAAATCATGAATGACAGCAACAAATTAGGCAGTTATATAAATATTATCTTCAGTTCAGTTACAGACACCATTTTTTTTTTTTTTTTTTTTAAGTTAACTTTTGTAAACATTCTTTCAACCAGTCTTCATTTCAAACTGATGACCAGTTACACTTTTAAACAAACTGTCCTCTTTTTCTTTTCCGTCTTTTCTTCTTCTTCAGCATTCTGAGCCCAAAAGGTTTATTATTTCATATATCACTCATCTCTCTGACTGACCCTCTCTTTTGATTTGCTGAGACCATGTGTTTGTACGTCTGCCTAAATATTGAAGTTTGAACAACAGACCAATATCATGGCTCCGGGCAGCGCCACTCTTGTGGATTTCCAACTGCTAAGGTTTTTTTTAATTTGCGCAACAATGCACACGGGCTTCTGAATTCACTACCCAGAGACCAGGAAACATTACTAGAAGTCCAAGTCCACGGAAAAAAAAATCCCAGCACTTACCAAGGATCGAACCCAGCACCTCCAGCACTTGAGGTGGACACCATGCCTTGAGACCACGTAGCCCCCTTGCCTGAATATTCTATGCATTGTCCTCTTTGTCTGCCTCATTTTAAACTTCAGTTTAATTCTTTTGAGTTTACAGTTTATTTTTAATCTGTTATCTGAATTTTTCTCTATACACCCCAACCACTAAAGTTAAACCAATCTTCTTCTTTTGGCATTCTGAGCCTTAAAGTTTATTACTACAAATATGGTGATAGGAATAAATTCCACAGGGGAGCATGTACAGCAAGGATCTACCAATCGTCAGTAGAAGTAATCTCTCGTCGACAAACGTTTCGGCCCACGAGCTCCTAGACGTTTTCAGAGAGTGGGCCCACCTGAGTTCATGAAGCTCAGGGTTGGTTTCCCTGCTGCACGAAATTACCTGATGGTGTTCGGATAGGGACAAGACGACTTGGTGAGAATGGATCAGGCAGGTAGTGGTGCAGTTTCTCTTGGTGGTGTCCAACTCCAAGAGATGGGAGTCATGCATCTACTTGGGCAGTGGTGTGGATAGGGATAAGAGAGCTTGTGGAGATAGAAAGGTGCGAATACAGTAGGCAAGAGGGGCTTTTATAGTGCTATGAAATTTGTGGTCAAAAGAAATTAAAACTAATACTAAACTAAAGAATTTTAATTCTAATGTCAAATCAGTACTCTTGTATGGAGCGGAGATATGGATAACAACTAAGACAATTAATAAGAAACTACAAACAATCAAAAACTGGCGGCTGTTCAGAGTAGAGGGAATAAAATTGTACGATGACAGTATCACTAATGTGGAGCTTTGGGAAAGAACTAAACAAGTTTTTGTGGACCAAGAAGTGAATAAAAGACGCTGGTGTTGGATAGTACACACTTTGAGAAAACCAAGAGAATAATATAACTAGAATTTTCTTTGCACTGGAACATACTCGAGCATAGAAATAAAAGAAAACCAAAAAACACATGGAGAAGGAAGCTAGAAAGCAAAGTTAAAAAGATGGGGATGACTTGGGAAGAGCTGCATGCAATAGCCTAGGATAGATTGACTTGGCGTGAGTTGGTTGAGGACCTATGCTCTATTGGAAGTTAAAAAGAAGAAGAAGAAGCTTCAGACATCCCCACCTCCATTCATCCCTGTGGCTGGCTAAGCAAATATGGTAAGTTTGAGGTTTGAACAATGGACAAACATCATGGCACCCATAAGTGCTCCATTCTTCTTCTAACTCATCTGAGTCTGAAGAAGCTCAGCACAGTGCACAGGCTCTG